GTAAAAACTCAAAAAAAAATAAAATAATTGTATTTGCCAGAATTTGGTTTAAATTGCCTATACACTTAGAAATGTAGCGATTTATATAGAAATATGTAAAGATGATACTCATCCCAAGTAGGAAATAACTTTTTCCTACAGTCACCCGGCAAAGTGGGCTTGCACTGATTATAGTACAGATCACTGCTAATTGCTGAGTTTACTTACTTTGCCGCACACTTTTTACTTGGTCACACACCAGTATTCCAACCAAACAACACAAAACAGCGTGCTTTTATTATGCACGTAATCCGTGTATGCTTGGAACTAGGTTGGCAACACTAGAACTACGATCAGCTGGTATAGCGTTTCCAATTTCGTTCAATGTTTGGATTTAACCTAACCTAAAAACGTGTTGTACAGTGTTTGGAAGACTAATTATTTATATTATTTATAGTAACTGTAGGAAAAATATAATGTGTAACACGAGTACAAACTGCCTTTGCTGCACTTGAGCAACTTTCCACACTCGCATACAGCTCGCAAAGTGCCACTTTGTTCACTAGTTACACAAATAACTATTTGACCGTGTATTAAAGCACTTACTAACTATTATAAACACTCGTTTATTGCTCGGTATCGTAATTAATTGTCAAACAATAAACCCAGTTTTCAGGTCCCTGAGGCTATATCAAATTCGTGAAATTTTGTACAAAAAAACACACCAATGCTTTATAGCAAGGGATTTATGTCACTGAGAAATACTACGTAAAAGTATGTCCTTACAACACGATTACCTGGATGTAGCTAGGTTTTTAATAAAATTTGTCTTAGTTGATGTGAGCCCCCTACAGATTGCGCTGATCTAAATTACTGATTTCTGCCGATTACATGATGGTTTTTACCAAGTCAAACTCATGGAATGACTTATTATGAGCTATAGCAACTGTTGTGACCCAGCAACTGTGTCAGTAACGAAAAATAAGGTACAAAATATAGTTTTAGACACTAGCACAATCTGTAGGGGGCTCACATCAACTAAGACAAATTTTATTAAAAACCTAGCTACATCCAGGTAATCGTGTTGTAAGGACATACTTTTACGTAGTATTTCTCAGTGACATAAATCCCTTGTTTACAACAGGAAAAGTCGACAGCCGCAGATGACAAAACACTCACACCTTTCAACGCAAAACATCTTGAAATATTTAATTATACAATTTACTAGCTGTTGTACCCGTGCTTTGCAACGGGAAGTGGACACAGAATAGAAACGTTTTAATCTTTACATCTGTTGCATATAATAGTTATACACATCCGCCAACGCTTTTAGAAACTTGTATGTCCCTTAATAAAAACGTTTAAGTTATTACTTTCAAATCTGATAAGTATATAGTGTATACCACCATTTTGGTTTTGATTAATTTTAAATCTTGTGTAGGTTGATATGAGAAAAACTGACCAAATCTTTGAATAAAACTTTAACATACATGATTTACCTTCATCTCCCTTAAATACATATCTTTTTTCTTTATTTTTCACATTTTAAATTTTAATTTGAAGTTGCAAAAATACTAATTATTAAATTTAAATGAACATTTTTTAAATTTCACACTTATTCATATTAAATCCCAAATCCTTTCATCTTCAGTTTCTTCACTCACAATAAATCATTAGCAAAACTATGTCAGCTGTTACAAACTTTAGAAACATATTTTTGTGCCTTATCAATAGTCTTTTGAAATATTAATGAAACTATATCTATACTATAAAAAATGTTAAACAAATAATTTAGCATTAAAGACAGCAGACAAAACTAATATGATTATCAAAGCATCAAGGACTAAAAAATGCAATAGCAAATACAGTATTATGTTTCATGCATATCTGAATCTATTCTACAAAAATATCATCAAACAACTAAATATTCGAACCAGATCTTTTAATCAGTTCAATCGTCCATTGCCTTTACATTTTCACTCTTACTTACCTTTGAGTAAACATAGTAACAAATAAGTCATTGGTTTTAGAAACAAAGAACACTGTGTACTGCTTAGTTATATGATATTTTCCTTGGTTTAATTTAATCAGTGTGGTGTGGCAAAACACAAATAATAAAATTATCAAATAAACGTGAACTGAAAGCTATGTTAAGATAAAATAAGATTATTTTGTATTACCATTTAATAATTAAGTATAGCTACACATACATAACAGATGTTAGAACACAAAAATCGTACAAATTAGTTATTGATAAAAAACACAAGACATAAATTTACCTAAATATACATATAAAAAAATGTGATGTGCAACTTATGGTAAGTTAATCTAACGCATGTTAAGCAGTTCAAATTTATTTAAAGTTGCCTCAAAATTCATGCAAAACATCTATACATTGTAATTTTCTTACTGTTTCCATGAAAATATATCAATAATATTAATTTCATGACACTTAAGGCACTTTAAAAATCGAAAGCAAAACAGCCTGAGTTGATACAGCAACGCTTTTAATAATATTTCTTTTTATTTCTATAATCAATGACATCATTTTTGAATAAATGATCTTTGATACATTTTTAGATTAAATAAACCAACTATGTAATTGTGGGAAGTGTTATATTTAATTTTTCATTGGATCAGCTGTCTTCAATTGTGAAATATGCAATTTGGCAGTTCTTCTTGTTTACATTGAAATGTCTAAGCAAATGTAAACATTGTGAGGATTTTCATTGCAGCCATGGAGACCAATCAATATTTACTTTTAAAATCCTCACCTTAGAACATTTAAAGCCAAAGGGGCAAAGCCCACAGTCAGCATCGAAGTGTGAATAGTCCTATAATGGTCCTTGGTATGGTAACTATATTTTTGTAAAATTTAAGCCCAGTTAGTTCAGTAGTTTATGTGCCTATTAGTAATACACATACAGACACCACTAGATTTTTATATAATAGTATAGATTTGTAAACAGTTTTATTGCATTGATGAATTCGTGTAGATTTATTGGCAATTTAACGCCCTGACAAGGTGTCTATGAGTTTAATACAATAAAAGTTTTCCCTGTTACACCCCTTTTTCAGCCGTCTACCTATCCCATTGCTACGATTGAGGTATCATTTGAAAGCTTATTGGTCTAGCTGAGAGACTAATGGTAATAAAAAAAGGTGATTTTCTTTAGGGCTTCGCCCCCTTAGCATTTAATTTATTTCTATATTTCACTTCATCATATCATATCATATCAAGATCATATGAACTAGGAGGCCCCTAACAGTTCAAGAATAAAAGCCAACTTTACTTCATGTATTCCACTACACCTAACATTCCGTAGAGAGATTATATTGACAACTTTATGTTATTGATAAGGCCGAGACCAGGCCCACTTTTATAAACGGGCAGACTGAGCATATGCCCAGGGGCGCTGGTGGTTTGGGGGCGCCCACTGGGTGCCCCCAAACCACCGCCGGCCAGCACTAGGAAAAAAGGGGGGCGCTGCTCTTGGGTTTGCCCAGGGCTCCACTGACCCTTAACGCAGCCCTGGCCGAGACAACTAACTGACATCCCCCATGTCAAGGAATTCCAGCTTTATCAGTAACCCCACAGTCAATTTCTCAAAATAATGCTAGAGGGTTCATTCATTGGCACAGAAGTACGATATGAACTGACGCGACGTGACGAAGGAAAATCAAACTTACACTGTAACGGATATACCTCCCTTTGAAGTTAGAACGTGTCTTCTCAACAAACATATATTTTTTCTCAAACACTGATGAAGTCGCGGAAGTGTTTAACTACAAGATCCACCAATACTATCTAAATACTTTTTAAAGGTTCTACCAAAGGAAGAGATACCATATAACATACTAATAATAACTCCGATGACGTACAGGATAGGAAATATTTTAATCATTGAATGAACAACCAAATTTGGCAACTAACGCAATATTGTTATTGTTTTTACAATGTTAAATGCTCAAAATATGTATATTTCACCCAATTCATCGCAGTTAGATGAATTAACGTAAGCCTTGAAAGTAACCGTCGATTTCGACGGGTTTCCCCTAGTTTTATATAACAGCTGATCATTTTAGAGTGTTTAACCACATATAGATTAATCTAGAATTAATCTAGATTAATTATAGACCAATGAGCAATTATTAATCTAGATTATTAAGCAACTAAAATGTTTATGACAATGAATTGTAAATAGGTTGCAGAATTATTTGATAATATTGTAGCCTGATTGATGTAGATACACTCTTTGTTGTGTAAAATCGACAAATTTTATTAATTGTAAATTACTGTAGTAGTGTTTTCACAAAAAAACTGTTTTTCAAACAAACATAATCTTTGAAAGTTAGAAAGGCATTGTATTGGATTTGTTTTGTTTCGAATCAAATCACCCTTTCATAAGTGATTTGAAATGTATTTCATCACATTCAACTATTAAAAAAGCTCATACTTTCAGAATTTTGTAAAGAATATACTCATAGTTTAAATTAGGCCTATTTTTTAACGTGTAGTCATCTCCCAAGAGGTGCAGGGAAGAATATCTTACTTGTAATTGTATTGTAAGGTAAGGCCATCTAGTTTAATTCTTATATTAGGGTGGTGCTGGGAGTAAATAGACGATTTAAAATTAAATAGTTTGTTTTATTATTACTTACAGTGTAGATAAAATAACCTAAAAGTAAACAGCATCTATTTCGAGGCCTCTAATTAGATATAGGAACAATTAGGAATTCAAAGAAGGAATGTAAACGCTGTTTCAAAAGATATTACAAGATACATTCCATGATTAATTAACAAAATAGGTTAACATGGATTTTTTCTAAAAACTTTATGTATTAATACACATACCTCTCGTTTTAACTAATAAATGTTTGCTAAAAATTTAAAAAAATACAATAAAATATTAAAAATACATAAAATGTTTAAGTGGTTTTCAAGAATCTCATAATACTGCAATACAATAACATAGTTTTACATAAAATCAACTAACTAAACTTATGTATTTACAATAAAATTCTAAACTTTCGATTTCATCAACGTAACATTAACACTTTTAAAATCTATATACACATCAACATTTACAAAAAATAAATTACACTTTGAACAGTCTAAAGCAATTCAGTTATATTTTATTATCAATAACGCATTTAAAATGACTTTGTACATTAACTTATAATACAACATGCATTGTGCAAAAGTATGTACAGCTAAAAATTATAAAGTAATATTTTTTGGTTTAGGATGTCATACAACAAAACTGGACGTTTGTTGGTTTTGGTCCACGAGATGATCTTGTGAGCTTGGCTCAGAACATTTCTGTTGAACAGCTGATTTAGATGACGTCATTGGGACATCTGGTAGTGGAGCAGAGTCTAGAAGCAGCCTTACAGGGGGCGGGAACACTGTAAATTAACATACATATAAACATACATATATTTCAAAATGTATTTAAGATAAAAAACATTACATTTCCGTTGGTAAAACTAAGTTTTAGAGCAGGCCCTCATATTTAAAGGCTCAATCCAGAAAATTAAATATGTTAAAGATTTCTTCGAATGAAGTCTATATTTTTCTCCAAGCTTAATAATGTTTAAATATATAATAATTTAGTAAACATGTCTTAAAGTTGAGTTTAATTATGGAGACAATTTTCAGACCACATTTATTTCTTCTTTTCTTTAATTATTGTCATTTGAGAAGATTTAAACCGTTAAAAACGATAAAATTGTTGATTTCTAAACGGTTACTTCCCGTCCAGTACCAATCCAAATGAGTAAAGCCCACAATGTAATATTTACTCTAAAAAAGAAAGGCTTTTTATCAAAACCAACGCAGTCCTAAATAACCAAAATGTCCACTCGAAGTCTACAAAGTCAATGATGCAGTGAATTAAACCTTGAATATTGCTAGTAGACATTTCATTCCAAAGATCCAATGGATTAGAATTAACTAGCTGTACCCGCGGGCTTTGCCCCGTTTAACTTTATAAGCGAGCTCGTTTGCATGGCTCAACCACGTCCTGGTTGAAGTTCGTTCGCTACGCTCACTCACTTTTAGGTTGGAGCTCGTTCGCTGCGCTCACTTGACTTCAGGTTAGCTCGTTCGCTACGCTAACTCGCCTCCAGGTTGAAGTTCGTTCGCTACGCTCACTCACCTTTTGGTTGCAAATTAGCTGTTGTCATAAATGTAAAAGAAATAATAGTGCTGCACCCTGTTGGTAATCCTTGTAACTTTAATGCTATTGAACATCATAGAACAGAACCAACTTGTTTAATTGAAACAGCTGTTAAGATTCATTAATCCCATTTAAATATGAGTACTCATAAGGTTAATATGGGAAACTCCAGAGCCACTGGGGCGGAGCCCGAGTGTCCGATCAGAATAAAAACAGCTTAGTTTTCCTATTTAATGCCTTAGCACTGAAGGGTGACATGAAGCCATTCGTTCGCTACGCTCACTCACTTTTAGGTTGGAGCTCGTTCGCTGCGCTCACTTGACTTCAGGTTAGCTCGTTCGCTACGCTAACTCGCCTCCAGGTTGAAGTTCGTTCGCTACGCTCACTCACCTTTTGGTTGCAAATTAGCTGTTGTCATAAATGTAAAAGAAATAATAGTGCTGCACCCTGTTGGTAATCCTTGTAACTTTAATGCTATTGAACATCATAGAACAGAACCAACTTGTTTAATTGAAACAGCTGTTAAGATTCATTAATCCCATTTAAATATGAGTACTCATAAGGTTAATATGGGAAACTCCAGAGCCACTGGGGCGGAGCCCGAGTGTCCGATCAGAATAAAAACAGCTTAGTTTTCCTATTTAATGCCTAAAGAATCAGTGTACAGAATTTCAGCCTCCTAGGTAAATGGGAAGTGGGAGAATTAGTGATGAGTGAGTGAGTGAGTGAGTGTGTCAGTGAGGGCTTTGCCTTTTATATATTTAGATTATGGTTAAAATTGAGCCTTCTACAGAATGCACTGATTTAAGTCGGGGATTTAAGTTACCAATTCCTGCCTTATACGACATAATTAATTATAACTAAGCCAAACTAAATGGATTGCTTATTGACATTTTGTATCAAATTCAACAATCATTGATTACAAAATTTAAGTCTACATCAGTATCCATAACATTCTCAAGTTGTTTCACTTAAATTTTCTAAAAATATTCAAAGCAACGTACATTTAAAGCGGTCGCAGGTCCTCTCGTCGGATTTCTGCACTTTGACCTCCTGGCCCCGCGATCTACCGGAGATCAGCAAGAGCACGAGGAGGAAGAGCAGAAGAGCGGCTGCGACTCCTGCCACACCCTCGAACCCAGGGTGTCCGTAGACAGGGTGACTGTGTGGTGCTGGAGGGACGGACAGGGGTGTGGCCTGCCGTGTGTCTAGGACTAGAGGTTCACTGACACTCTGGGCGTCCCTGAACAGCTGAACCTGCAAGAAAAGAGGATTTGAAATTTCGGGTGGAAGTATTGATAAGCATTGGGTGGAGGTTTTGAGAAGCTTTTATTGGAGGCATTGAGACGCATTGGGTGGAGGTTTTGAGAAGCTTTGAGTGGAGGTATTGGGAAGCTTTTGGTGGAGGTATTGAGAAGCTTTTATTGGAGGTATTGAGAAGCTTTGGGTGGATGTATTGAGAAGCATTGGGTGAAGGCATTGAGAAGGTTTGGGTGGAGGTGTTGAGAAGCTTTGAGGTGAGATATGGTGAAGGTTTGGGTGGAGGCATTGAGAAGGATTGGGTAGAACCTTGAGAAGTTTTGGGTAAAGATCTTGAGGAATTTTGAGTGTAGGTCTAGAGAATGTTTGGGTGGAAATCTTGAGAAGGTATTGAAAAGCTTTGTTTAGAGATCATGTGAAGGTTTAGGCGGATGTCTTACAAAACTGAGGGTATATGTCGGAAAAATGAAGTGTAAAAGAGGCCGCCAACCTCTTAAAGAACTACTGTACATTTATAGTTATAAATGTTCATAAGAAGCAAAACTGCGACAAACCCATCGAGAAAACATTTGTAACCATTCTCCATGACCAAGGGCTTATTACCTTGATAATTGACATGTTACAACAAAATGTCCGCTACCATGAACAGTTTCAAACCGCAAAGGACAATTTATCATCCGCTGCGATTGCAGAAACAAACTGTTCCTTGGGGACAAGCAGAGAAATATCTGTGACAAATGTTTTAATAAGAAACGTCTGTAACAATGTGACATAAATCTGGGGCGCAGCTGAAATATAGTTGTGGGGTAATGGAAAAATCTGAATTGCTGATGGCGCGATAAGTCTTGAGCGTCGCGCCTTCCCCGAGATGTAGGGAAGTGCTAGACAAACAATAGATTAGAGTTGGATAAGCAGAAGAATAAGTGCAATCATCTATGCTTTAGGGTGTTTAAAAATAACGTTGGAGGTGTAATGGGTTAATAGGTGTTAGAGTAATAATATAATGGGGGGATAGGGTAAAAGGTGACCTGTAATGGATTAAAGTGGAATTGAAACAGTAAATGATTGTATTGTGACAGTGTTGGAGGTAAGTAATGTTTTTAACCTTAATTGTAAAGGGTGAAGGTACATGCAAGTAATAGCTTACTCAACACGAGAGCCAAATAAGTAATACAGTAGGCTAATAATTATTGTTAGGTAATACAAGTAAAATATTATTTTGTTGTAGACGAATTATAATTATTTTCATAAGAATTTTACTGCCTATGCATTTTCTAGCATATAAAACATGACGATTCTAATTAAAGGTTAAGCATTTTATCAATAAAAGTTACGAAATATGATTTTCCGTAGAGATAAATTAACAAAAAAGATACTATTTATAATAACCATTATGGAAATAGCATTCTTCCTTCAATATATTTCTACCGGCAATCATATTTCTGTGCCCCTTAAAGTCAGCCAGGATATCAGATAAAGTAGGTTAACCAATACAATAAGAGAAGACAAGACAATCTAATGTCTTAGACCGAACTTCTCATATCGTCTAGATCCTAGAATCCACTCATTGGTCTAGGTTTTCTGTTAAGAACAATGCTTAATTCTCATACTTTATTTATGTGAGATTTCATCATTTTAAGTACAACATATACTTTTAGAAATTTAAAAAAATATTTTACTTCCAATTCATACAATTGTCACTTAAACTCATTTTTGTGTAAGACGATTTTAGTTTAGTTTTCGCACTTTATTGTTTAATTAATTATCGAAGGAAATTTCAAAGAAAATTCATAGAATTGTTACTTGCAACCTCGATTTGAAAGTAAACTTTTTGGGTTGTAGATAAAAACACTATTTTGCATTTTTCTCACAAGTGTTTTGTAGACAGTGTTTAACAATATTAAAAATCCTTTTAGACACCTCTGAACCCTTTTCGAGCTAGAAACCCCTTTTCGATTATCATTTGTTTTACAACCTCTTCCGAATTGAAAGCTTCATATTAAGAGATAAACATAATATTTTTCTTCTTACCTGTATCCTATATACAGTGTCTGGCCACAGGGACAATGTTACACAGGTAGAGTCAGTCAGGAGGTTCCCCTTCAGTCCTCCACCCTCCAGCTCCCAGGTGACCAGGTACAGGGACTGCGCCCCCTCGGTCCCTTGGACCCCTCGTGGCTCCCAGGACACCTCGGCTATCACCAGCACCCCCTGGTGGATCAGGGATACTTCTCGCATTCTCCAACCCTCCTGGAATAGAGAGGTAGATTGTTTTAGGGCTATAGTTAGAATATCAGTATATCTCAGTATACGTAGAGTATAGCCATATCCTCCAACAAAAGGGCGCGGCGTTGCAGTGTGGCAACGTCGCACCGGCCGGCCTGTTGTCAGGGTAATAACAGTAATAAAAAAGTGTATACATAAACATTGCGCAGAGGCTCCTTTATCAATTGAGGCAACAGCTGCTTCGGTTGGTCGGGGCTGCGGCGTTGCCACTTTTACCACAGTCATGTTAACTTTTGAGTATTGAGAGTATTGACTCACTGACTCACTCACTCATCACTAATTCTCCCACTTCCCATTTACCTAGGAGGCTGAAATTCGGTACACCAATTCTTTGGGCATTAAATAGGAAAAATAATTAGTTTTTATTCTGATCGGGCTTTCGTGCTCCACCCCAGTGGCTCTGGAGTTTCCCATGTTAACCTTATGAGTACTCATATTTAAATGAAATTAAAGAATCTTAACAGCTGATTCAACTAAACAAGTTGATTCTGTGATGTTCAATAGCATTAAAGAGTTAATATGTTTACCAACAGGGTGCAGCACTCTTATTTTTTTAAATTTATGACAACAGCTTGCGACCAAAAGGTGAGTGAGCGTAGCGAACGAACTTCATTTAACCAATAAACAGGTTACTGTCTTAATCAGGTACTTTTTGACGTCGTATGTGATGCGGTTTGTTTGATCGCCAACAATTAGCAACTTAATGTTGATGTGTTCTCTTTAATGCAGAAATGACTATTACGATTGAAATTATATTGTAAGCAAGTAGGTTATATAACATTTTGTTTGGCAAATACGCCACGTAAATTGGAAACCAGTTATTCGATTTATCATCTTATTCACTTAAGAATATTTTCATACGGCAAGAATTTTAGCCTTTGATGACTAAATAGTGGATTGTAATTTTTTAAGATGCAAGGTTTAAATATTTTTTTGTTTCAATGCAACAAAGTATTAAAAATAACCTTATTCGTCTATTATACTATAACAAAACTCATGATCCCTCGCCCAAAGCAGCTACAAAGCCATTCGCTCATTAACAGATGGTCAGCCAACCAAGAATGTTGCACGGACCCTCATAATTTGCAGTCGTTTATATAAAGATAGAAATTATAGCAGTTACAACAATGAATTTATACGGGAATAATGACATAATGTACGGTTTTAAAGTCGGAAAGTTAAAATGGTTTTGGGATCTGTTATTAAAGAGTTTGGAAACGGGCAATTACGCGAAGGAATGATAAGGGTCGACGGTGGCGCGCCCCGCGGTATGGCGGGAACTACAGAGGCGGGCCAGCTGATACATAGAGTAATATAGAGTACTAGGCCTAGAGTACTATATCAACCACTGAGCTAGAAATGCAAATGGAAGGTAGCACTGGCACGGCATCACTGCAAGAAAAACACGCTGTAACATTTTGTTATGTTGGCACCAACTAGGGGATTCGACCAGATCGTACATTGGCTCATGGCTTTATTACAACCCCAAAGTTTATAATTATAGGGAAGCTATGTTTATGCCAGAAAACTGTTAAATGCGATGTTTTACAATGTTTAACGGGCTATTTTCATATTTATGCATTTGTATCTATTATGTATCTATGTAAAATACACATCGAGCCATAGTCTTCTGATGTTTAAAAAAATTAAGTTAAAAATTGCCAAATTTGATTCAAATATATCCATAATCAAGCAAACTACAGTTTAATTATTCTCGATAAGAACAACATTGGAATTTTTAATTTACACTTTTTTATTTTCTCCGTAACCGTTTATTATACAAACGGTTCAATGTACTAAAATATTATTTTTAAGCTCTTCAAAATAGGTTTTTTTATTTTAAATTTTACGATTTTAGGCTCAAAAATGAGAAAACCCAATTTGTATCGCAGAAAACCCACAAACCATCTTTAGGCATTGGATGTGAATGTTTGTACCCAGTAGTTGACCATTTGCACTTACGATTCTTGGTAATACACTAACGCATCTTATTATTCCAGTGTTTATTCATTGTCTTAGCGAAAACACAATGCGATCTTAAAAGAAGCAATTCTTTATTTTAAGATAAAATCTACTACTTTGGTGTAAACTGCAAAGTTCCTTTGATCTTCCCAAAGACACAAGATCGTTATGGGTCCAGAGGCGGACCCTCAGCCAACAAGCAATGACTAGTTCCGAGAACACGGGCTAAAAGGTGGGATAATTTGCCATCATTACCAGGCGCCGACCCTCCGATCTCAGCTGAGTGCTTTCATCAGCTGACGCGGGATAACTTCTAACTTTTAAACTTAGTTCCACCTGAAATATTTAAGTTCTTCCCAATTGAACCAGAGCGGTGACATTCTGAACCAGACTAGCACTATATTATCAGATCAGCTAAAATGGTTGATGTTTAGATTAATTAGACCTACGGCGTGCTCTATCTAATCACTACAATCCTCTGGTCTACAGTCATCATCCGGTTGCCGTTGTGACTCATATTGTTGACGGCAGTTAACTGCATTGCACAAATCAGTTGAGGGACAGTCTTGGCATGAATCAGCTGTTCCCTATCAGCTGTTTATTTGATTTATTTTGATCGTAGTTAAATTAGTAGTGTTCTCCTGAATATTTATGATTTGTTCTCTCCAAGTGTTCGATACTTTGTAATTGTGAATCAATAGATGCTATGATTTAATATGATGCAAAGCTATTCTTTGAATTTATCTTAGTGGAATACAGAAGTTGTTTTATACAAGAGTAATCAGTAATTATTAATGACAGCAGCTGCATCGATGACTCGATTAAAATGTTTTAAATTTCTTAAGAAATTTATAAAAAGGATATCTACGTCCATTGCCTCTAATACAAGGTCGTGGCGAAACAAATTTGGCAACGTCGCAGCCCCGTCCTATCGAATAAGCTGCACAAACGGAGATTATTCAGAATTTGTATGTTCACACGCTTGTTATTACATAGAGTGGCCGGTGCGACGTTGCCACACACCATCGGTTTAGTATTAGGGGAGGCTATGCTACTCTTCTTTACATAGTCAAACGCCATAGCCATAGTATAGTTCTCAACAATTGTCAAAAACAGCTGGGCCTAGGATCCGAATTCCTCCACTTCCTCCAATCGTCGGCCAGCTCCTGGTAAGGATGGTAAGCCACTATGCTGTACACGTCTGGACCGCTCGGCAATACTAATACCTCTCTATATCATTCCACTGCCCGTCCTCCATGTTAAACAATTTACTTCGTTTTCCCTCCCTGGAATCGCATATCGTCCCCATCTATCAAACCTTTCCCAACTGGAATATAATGATGTCTGCAGCCTTCACTGCAGCAGCCTGCGTGTCGGGTGTATAAATGTGTTGATTGTGGGATAAAACCGGTATTGCACTGTCACTGGTATTGTTCTGCGCCGTTTAGAGGGTAAACGGGCTCAAGGTATTCAATAATTCCCTCTGGGGCTGGGTTTTTGTGATTGATAAACATCGACAAAGTATTGGAGAGGCAGGAGAAAAACTCTTTGGTCTTTTGTGATGCGGAGGATTTCAGTCGGTATAGTCATTGAGGAATGGTAAAGTGAAATACGATGATATTATACGCCGAAATCGTAACGACGTGTACAAATTTATTTAGTTCCATATTGTATGAAAACTTAATCTATTCCTGGAATTTCCGTTAGTTTGTTTGACCTTATGAGCGAAGCCCGTTTACTTGACAATTAGATTGTGTGGGCTTATATAGATTGTTGTGTGGGCTAGTCACGATCAAATTACGAACCAATATTACTCAAACCATTTTAACAATTTCCAAACGTACATCCAGAGTTGTAAGGTTTTTTTGGCCAAGCCATATTGCATTGGTGAAAAAGTTAAGAATGATTCTTGTGAAAATCTTAAGTAACGCAAAACCAAATAAGAGACAGCCTTAATCTTCTGGCCCTTAGTGTTAAGCCATTCCAATCAGAAACCCATATTCAAATCTAGGCAAACTCTTTCAGCATCACATTTACAAGGCTATCTTATCAGCCTTTAGCCTATCTTATCACCTTAACTGCCATCAACAATATCCTGGCCCAACTAGTAGCCTATCATGGCCAACAAATACAGACCAACCAGTAATGTCACGTGCAGTCCATTGGGAAGAAGTTCCCTTACTCTTAATAACCTCAATTTACGACAATCAGTAGGAGCCAATAGATTTAGTCTTCTGGTCCACATACAATGAGTAGACTATAGGCAATGGCAATGGTAGTATCACGGTCAACTAAAGTAAACCAAACAGTATCCAAGCCTAATCCGAGGGAAACCAGTGTCGACTCTCTCAACCGAATCTTTGTTTTGGAAATCAGAGCCCTAACATAGTAGACATTTAAATTACTTTGTGTTATACGCTTCTAACGAGCCACCATTTATCTTAGGACCTATCTAGTATCATAGCCAACCAAACCAGAACATACAGTAATGTCAAGTCCGGTTTTGGTGGCAAGCAGTCTATTCTCTCCAATAACCCTTTCTTTCGGCAAAAAGAATCTCAAGAAATCAATAGTAGTCTTCTAGCCGATCTAGTCTCATAGCCAACCAAAACGAGAACGGACAGAAATCTTGAATCCGGTACGGAGGAACGCGATCTCTACTCATACCTATATTACTTTATCTTAGACAAGAATTCTTAGGAAACAACATTATACTTCTGGCCCAACTGCAGTCACAGCGAAACAAACCAAAACCGACAGTATTCTGAAGTCCGGTCTGGCGGGAAGCGGTCTCTTGGTCTCTAATGACTCTTTGTTTCGGCAATGAGAGTCATAACATACAGTACAATAAAGTAACCAACAGGAATAGTAGTAGTATTGAGATTAGTCTTCTGTATGACCATAGCCAACCAGACCAGAACAGACAGTATTCTCAAGTCCGGTCTGGCGGGAAGCGGTCTGTACTCTCTAATGACTCTTTGTTTCGGCAATCAGTCATAACA